ATTAATGGAAAATGAATGATATTAGACATCCACTAGTTCATTAAACAATAGCATTGGAATATATATCTTATGAATATACAGCCCAGAGTTATTGAATAATTTATAAAATTACCAGGGAATTCAGTGAATCTTATGATGAAATAATTGATTGGAATAAGAAAGCCGAAGGGAGAAATTGCCTAGTTTTTCGAACGATCAAATAATGATAATTCTTACAAATAAATAAGAATTGACAATTTGAGAATTAATTTCCCAGTTTGGCCGTCATATGCTAGAATTAATCCAAGAAGACTGACACTAGGCATTGACGAAGGCATCACACAATAACAGAGATAATTGCGGAATGTATAGCTGAGAGAGACGTAATAATAATGAAATAATCGGTGAATTTTCTAGTGAATTAATTAGTAAATCTCGAGGTAATATGCCAAAATCAATATAAAATCCACGATATGAGAAATTGACTAGTTCATCGATGGATAAACAATAACGATTTTTACAGACACATCAATAATGAAGAAGGGGTATCAATAGTAGCGCTGTTATTTTGTTGCAGAAGTGGGCAATTCTTCTTAGAAAGAAAAATATTTAAAAAAATGTAAGTTTAGAATCGAAGTTTCTAGAATCTAGTAAAAAAAGACATGGAATTTATCGGAAGAATTTCAGATTCAAGAAAAAAATCGATGAAAATAAGAATATACGGACCATTTTTAGAATTTTTTCTATAAGAATAATTCGATATGATGGCAGAGTTTAGCGTTCTTCAAAGGATAAATTCAACCATGATGAATTGATCAATTTCATGATTTTTTTTTCTGTGTGCGGAACGGGGATTCTTCTACCACGTGATCAACTCCGTTCGTTGGAAAGCTACAACCACTTAAGGTTTAATTAATACACTCTGTTGAATATTTGGTGGTGACCAGTGTAGAAATCTCTCAGCTCAATCCCCGCTTGCTATACCGTCAAGCCGGGGCGGAGCGGTTGGTTCGAGCGCGTGAGCGAAGTTTCAGCCGCATCTCCGCCTGAATTTCTACACGGGGAGGGGGCTAGCTGATGTTTGCAAAAGCCAAGAGGATTGACATTTTATTTGGAGACAAGTTTACTTCCTTATAGCCTTTGCAAACTCGTACAAAATTTCACCGCGGCGTAACATCCATTTGATTCCTATCCGCAATGTGAACTTGAAAATCATAGTCAACGTCAAAAATTCATATCTCCACTTTCATTTAATATCGAGGGATAAAATCGATTGGAACCAAACGGACATTCAATGCCATCATCTCTCCGTCTTGAATAAGCTCGATAAGCAGTCCTTTTTTTATTGATAAATCATGAACAAAGCGACGACGACAAACATTTTATTAGCGTTTTCATCTTCAAATGACCCTCCGAGCTACCCTTTTCAAATGTACACTATTAAAAAAATTTGGCTGAATCTTCCGGAAAAAGACCTTGAATTCGATTTAAGGATATCCAAGTGTCTTTTGCAGTATGGTACAGACCACACTATCGATTCAACCATTTTTAATTTTTAAATTTGTCAATTAAATTGCCTGAGAAATTTTTTTAAAAAATCATGAATATTCAGCGTCATTCAAATTACAGTTTGCACAAAATTATTGTTCTTTAAATATTCGATTTTTGGTCAAATCGATTTCTGGTAAAATTCTAAAAGTGAGCAAATTTGTTACGATTCTGAACAAATGATTTTTATGGTGGGCAATTGATTGGTTATAAATTATTTCTAGAAAATGCTCTCAATTTTCAAAAATTTCAATTTTTTAATCATTTTATCAATCTTCCTTCAAAAGTACACTTTTCGTTATTTTTTAAATTTTTAAAATATTTTTTAACAGTTCAATATCAAGGTTCAAATTCAGACTTGCAAAGTTCAAATAATAAAATCATTGTAAAATGTTCGGAAACTTAGGTTCAGATGGGGCTGAAAGCTCCGATGATCAACTACAAAAGTAGAAAAGCATTTCAGTCGAGAAAAATCGCTAAAGTATTTGTATATCCTTAATATTTTACTGTATCAACAAACGGCAAGAATTCCCTCATTGTGCGACCTTAAGGGTTATAAAAATTTGGTAGAATTTTCCCGAAAAAGACCTTGAATTCGATTTAAGGGTCAATGGAATTTCGAGTTTCTCTGAAAATTCAAGTAATTTCAATTTTGTAGCGGCAGCAAGATGGAAATTCCACAATTTTCATGAATTTTCAAGTGAAAATGAATGTTCACTGCCACATTAAATTGTCACGGATTTCCTTTGAAATTCTTGGAATTTTAGAAGTTGTTGAAGGAATTCCCTGAAAATTCAGAAGAATCTGCAATTCAAGGAGAGATTTCCCTAAATTTTCATGATTTTCCTTGATATTTCAGTGTACATGTTACTTGTTAGAAATTTCTAAAACCCTTGCCGGGATTTCCAGTGCAAAATTTTTAACAGTGTACGAGGAGTTTTAGGTCATTCTATATACCCCCGTCCCATCAACTACTCTCCATAAAAATGTCCACCTTCTCGCGAACACTTCCTATCCTCACGGCCCGCAATTCAATGGCTGATTGCATTCATTTATGATTTATCACTATTGCCGTCCTCTCCGACGATGTCCGCGATATTCCCTCCATTAAAAAAATTCAAATTGTCTAAAACGTTCTACATGTTAATAAAGAAAAAACAATTTTTTTTGAAAAATTGATAATTTTTAGAAAATCCCAAGATTTCTTCGTTTTGTTTTTCGGAAACCCCATATATTCCTCGAATTTTTCTAAAAACACCCGTGAGATTTCTGCAATTTTCCAGAAGAATCTTGAATTCTTGAAAAATGCATAGAAATTTCTACATCGCAGTATGCAATAGAAGGCAATACTCTATTTTTAACACTCCATGATTTTCAAGAAAATCTTAGAAATTTCACAAGATTTCGGAATTTTCAATGGTAGATCCGCTTGCATACAACTTCGTTCAATTATTCATATACTATCTTAGCATGCAGACCGTGAACTAATTAACAAGAAAAATTCCATTGAAATTCATTTAGACATTTTTGTGTGAATCGCGAACATGAAAAGATAACAGATTTATTAACTATAAGATTATTCTACATCCTCAGGAAGATTTCCATCTACACTGCTGAAAATTTTCAGTAGTAATATCACGAGACCTCCAAAATTATCGGATATTTCCTGATTGTTTTGTTGCATAGCACCGAGAGGGAGAAGTTTTACAGATTAAAATCCCGAGCGCGCAGCGCGAGGGATTTTTGTGCAAAACTTATCCCGACCGTTGGTACGCAGGAAAACATGAGGAAAATGTCCGATTAATTTTGGAGGTCAAGTGGTATTCGACGGATTATTTTTGGTAATCGGATCCTTCCCAAACTGACTCATTTTTACTTTCTTCATGACTTTCTTTCACTCCACAGGATAATATTTGACAGTTATTTGGTTAAAGAAACAATTGCAGAGCTAGAGGGAAATTATCAAAAGCTACAGGAAAATTGTCAAAAGCTAGGGGGAAATAACCGCTGTAATTTTAATTGGGAAGTACTTCATGTTATTGAATACTGAACTCTGATTGGCCCAGGGAAGGCCAGATCCGATTAGCAAAAATAATCGGTTATAATACTCCGAGAGCTTCAAAATGATCGGGTACTTCCCGATAACTTCGTTGCATACAAACGAATATGTCAAGTTTCGCAGGTTAATAAAATCCCGAGCGCTTGCGCGAGGTTTGAGGGAAATACTCCGATTCATTTTGAAGCTCGAAGGGTATTCGGCGGATTATTTCCCCCATCACCATGTCGACAAATAGAATTGTAGTATTCGGCGTTATCGTGGTAAATTCGGCAATTTTTTGTTATTCTGCTTGGCAACGGGAAAATTACCGAACGACGGGGTATTATCGATATAATTCTGTTCTGATTGGACCACGGGACTTCGAATTCCGGAATTCTATTGTTCGGACGGGTGATGCGGAAATAATTGTCTGAATTTTCCATGCCTAATTCCGGAAATTTTGAGCGTGTCCAAATTCCGCAGAAATTTCAGGAAATTTTGTCATTGAAAATTAAGAATTTCGTGGAAAAATCAAAACAGAACTGTAAACTTCCGTTCTATTCTTCCCTGAAAACGAAAAGAAAACCAGAAAATTCATTTCAGAACAGTGACACTGAATGCGATTTAGGGGGAAAAAATCATGAAATTTAAGATTTCAGTGAAAATTCAATGTAATTTGACACTGAATATTCATGTTAGATTGGAAATTCAAATAAATTAAAGAATTCTCGTCTTTATGCCGCTTAAAATTCTCGAATTTTACTGAATTTTCAATGAAACCTGAATTTTATGATTTTTCCCCCCTAAATCGCATTCAGTGTCCTGAAAATTGTTAGTCAACTGTTTATAAAATTCCATTTTTTTCTAACAGTGTATATCTTCTCCTCACTCAAATGATCCCAAAAAATTGCAACCCTCTCGGTCATTGCAAACATCGTTATTTTATCGATTATTTTCGCTGCTGAGGGCTTATTCTCGACTTATGTGAAGACGGATTTGGGTGTGAATTAGGCTTCGTTTACCGATTGTGCATGGTAACTCTACAAGCGAGACTAAGCCCTCAGAATAACTTCAAAAGTCACACATTAAAAATTCATGTTCTCTATTTTATATTATGTAATAGTTGATGAAATAAATATTACATATTTTCAAGGAAATATTTATCCTAGAACCATTGCCACAGATCCATTCGGAACCTTATTACCAATGAAATTAGTAGAGAGAGAAAGAAAAAAATAATAACACATAAAGTAACGGTCACATTGCTTCCGCCGAATAGGCTCGCAACCCTGCTTGTTCCATCTGAATAACCGTGACTTTGTCAAACTACTCAAATTATGACAAAAAAATTATGGTCATTTCTACAACTCTATATCCGCCTCATATTTTCTCACCCCTCCGCAGGCATCTGAAAGAAAAAAAAATCTCAACTTACCTGCTCTAAAATTCGTCGAATTCCCTCACGCGGTGCATCATCATACTTATCGGAATCCACCGACAAAAGCTTTATCACTCTCACCCTCCCCCCTGGACACCTCGCGAAAACATCAGTAAAAGTTCCCCCACGATCAATAGCAAATCCAAATTTATCATCATTCTCCATTGCAACAAAACTTTCCTCTTGATTCACCAAATTACGGTTCCGCTGGATCTACCATAAACTGACGATTCACTGGTTACAAAAGATTAAAGTTACACGTAAATATCCTGATAACGAACGCCCGATAAAATTTGCTCCCCCTCTCTGCCAAAATAACAAACTCCATTACCCAGAGCTCGAAATCATAAATCACCTCCTCGTAATTAACCGACAATTTTGAATATTTGATGCAATCCCCATTAATGCCCCAAGCGATTACAAATCAACAGGTGACTATTCCAAACTCTTCCTCGCAAATTAATTACCATATATGATGATGATGTAAATCTTATCAGAGCATGCCCAAACGAATGACATAACTCATTTCATAAAGGTAACACAATAACAGCTTGAATATCCAATTACATATTCAACATTAACAGTGTCCCCTTGATCACTGAGTGGTATTTAATCAAAACAAATACTTCCGTAAATTCACGAACCCTTGAAATCACTCAAACAGACACCAATAACTTGTTGACGATGCGGTATGCACGTGTAAAACTTGATTAAATTCCCATCGTATTCCCTCCCTATTATCACTATTCACCAACATAGCCTTTGTTCATTTGCAAATATTAATTTAAAAATAGAAGAAACCGTATCTTATGTCATAAGGCGATAAAAGTATTATCTGACGAATGTGACTTTATAATCCGAGCTGAAGGCCAGGAGTATAATCACATGAGTCGGATAGTACTTTTATCGTCGTGTGACATAGAATATTTCATGTTATTGGGCCCGAAAACCACGATTTAACCGAGCGAAGCGATGTTAGAATCGCGGTTTATCGGGCCTAATGACATAAATAAGATTTTCAATTAATCCCGCATACGAGAAATGTAATACAGACGAAAAATACCTTCGCAATTAACACGCCTGACTGACACAGACGTAAATACAAACTTCATTCGACTTGAAATAATGTTGATTGGGCAGTGGTTCTTGGGGAACCTTACCAATCACCTTACCAATCACTCTACAATGTACAACTGAATGTTATCTATATAGTACTTGGGTTCATTGAGAGTCACTCTTACTCATTGAGTCTGCGTATAAGTGCAGAAGTTATGAAACAGATATACCGGGTGGGATGGAAATTTCCCCTTGGAAAAGTGTAAAAAAAAGGTGAAGTAGCAGCGGTATCATCATTAGGGTAGAAATAAATCAAGAGACAGTTTCTCCTTGTTTTTATTCAACAGTACAGTACGAGTGGGCGTAGCCTCGTTAACGATTCAGTCGTGGGGCATTCCGTAATTATAATTTTCTTAATATTTTAACTTATGAACAATTGAGTAAGCTCTTTTTAATCTCATTAGTCATTGATATAGATTCGATTTACATATTATTGTTTTAGGTTTTTATGCAAATGAAAATGGATAAAGATCAGGAATTTACATGAAATTTGTCACTTCTCGTGATATTTTACACAACTCGTCGAATGAGGTTAAAATATTTCATTAAGAATTCGAATATCAACAATAAATATTTCTTTAACAAATAGTTTCAAAAAAAGCAATTCTCATGGCCTTTGCAAACACCAGTTACTGTCCTTATTCTCCAAAATTCGATAGCGGAATAAATTAATCAATCACTGATTAATTATCTTAAAGCTCATTGCTTTATTATCTAATTAGATGCTTTGTCCGCGTTTTTTTTCTCACGACAAAAATGGAGGTTTCACCAGTTCTTCCAACTATTCCAAAGATTCACAAAGGGGAATTTCGAAAAGCTGTGATGGCAACAATTTAATTAGTTACAAAATGGTCAAAGATTGAATTGTTTACCCAATCATTCGCCTTCCTCTTCTTATTCTTATTTTTCATTTTTCATATTATGAAAAAATTTTAAAAACCGTCATAACAGGAGAGGTGGTGATTTTATGACGTCATAGTTAAATGATCCCTTACTATTAACGAATGGTCTATTTTGAATACTACTAACAATAAGAAATATTCATTTGCAACTCTCTCGGCCTCTGCAAACTCCACCTACTCCCCTTATTCCCCGAAATTCAACAACGGATTAAATTAATTAATCACTGATTAATTATCTTAAAGCCCATTGATTTATCGTCTAATTAGATGCTTTGTGATTTTCAATCGACAAAATCACGTGTGCAATTTTGTCCGAGTTTCTTTTTCTCACGACAAAACAGGGGTTTCACCAGTTCTTCAAACAATCCCAAAGATTCACCATTCTCTTTGTCGCAGCTCTTGCCATTTTAATTTAGACGCGAAGCTTCTCCTCAAGTAAATCACGATGCAGTTGCTCAGTTAATCGCACGTAATTACCAGACTTTTCCAAGAAGTACACCGGATCTTTAATCTGAGAGATGGAATGATCAAAGGTAATATTAACTTAGTGTCTCAATTGACTGAACGTCTTTACGAGTAACTCGTTTTCCTACCTTGGTAATATCGAAGCCCTGCACTTGGAGATCTCCTTTTTTCAATTTGTATGTGCCTATAAAAGTGAAGGTAATCGAGTTATTCCTTGGAGGAGGTAGAATTAGGTTGAATAATCAAGTTTTTTTATTCACCGGTTAATGGTAATTCCGCTAAAACCCGGACGAACAACGGTCTAGCGTATGCGGGTAACGATTTTTTTAATCCATCCGCTAATTCTTGAAGGCTCAGAGTCTGGTTTGGATCGTAAATTGCAACCATTCCAGCTTTACCCTCGTTGCCAGGTACCTGAAGAGTTAATTTTCAAATATTAAAAATTTTTATACGAGGGAATACCGGAGAGTTTGGATTATTTATTACCTCAACACCGTAGACTACGCTGTCCCGGAGACCGATTATATTACTTATAACTGCTTCGACTTCAGCTGTAGCAACGTTTTCGCCTTTCCATCTGGAATAGAGATAAAGAACATGGGATAAATTGATAATGAAGTAAGAAAAGAAGAGCTGTGCAAATTTGAGGGTGTTTATCCAAAACCTCAAGCAATCGAAAAAATTATGATTTTTCTGCCACTGATACGGTGGTGGCACCAGTTTCCAAATGCGACCCTAATAGCCAAATTTGGAACACCGTTGCGACATAATTTCGAACGAATAAATATTGAAAGGCATCGAAGTCTATTTTCATTGTTTTCCTCTCGCAGTGCAGTTATTTCTCAACTAATTACAATATTCATTTGCATTACACAGAGGGCAATAAATTCCTAAGATTATATTTATCCGGGGTAGCGTACAGACGGTTGGATTCAGTCACACTTCATAAGGATCTGGACACAAAATGTAAGTAAACAATTGATTTTAATCAGTTTCAATGAGTGGAAAGATTTGCATTCACAGAATACGAGGTGGGAGGACTATTAAGAGCTCATGAGCTTTTAATAGTCATGAGCTCATACAATCAAAAAAGAGACGGTTTGGAGGAAAAACTCCGAAAAAAGGAATCGCCTCAAGCTAAGAAGAAGAGTCCCAACATTGTGGCGAAGAAAAGAGAGATGAAGAACAAATAATTGGAGAGAGCTCATTCACCAGTCTTGAATTAGGTTATTGCTGTTAAAATAACAATGGAATTCCTCTGGATATAGTTTTCCTGAACGATTTCCTAAATTTCCTTAGCCCAAACGCCTTCAATTCGCTTTATTGAAAAACTGCGCCCACGCTATTCTACAACTGGGGTGGGTCGATTTCGGACCCCATAACCATTCGATAACTGGTGCCACCAGGATAGACAACATTATTTTCTTCATGTAGATAAAAATTTGAATTCATCAATCCGAGTTGATTATTCGAAAATTCACTCTAGTCTGGTTATCATACGAGACCCGGCGATTTTGCTCACCTCCGCGGAAATTCACTAATGTGTTATCTAAGCTCCAGCGTTGCCGAATTCAGTCTACACTGAATTCATTTTTTGAATTCATTTTTTGAATTCATTTTTTGTGATACCTTCCTCAAAAGTACAATTTTCGACACAGTTTAGAGTGCGTAAAGCAGTTGTTTTCCGCACGGCGTGCATAAAGTTCACGAGCGTACATGAAGTGAATTCTAGTGCGTAACGCTTCTCTTTATGCACTTGAAATTCACTTTACGCATGCTCTTAAAGTTCACGCTCTCGTCCACAAACACAACCACACTACCCCCACTACCGTTCCAAACGGTGAACTCAGCAGGTACCACAAAAAATAGGATGCATTACACGTGCGTGTGAAAAAGTGGAATTTTACGCACTAGTAATACAATGTACTATAACATGGGCAGAAATAATTCATTTGTTGGAAATGATGTATTTTCTTTTGGAATTTCGAGAATTATGTTGTTGTAAAACTACTATAATTTTTTAGACAATTCAATTAAAGAAGAGAAATTTTTTTAGCTAGTGCGTTTGATGGCTTGCCTTACGGAGGTCCATTTTTTTTATGTTGGAATCGACATTTAGGCGATAAATGCTAAAAAAGACTAGAATATTCTGAAATATTGATGGAACACCTACAGCGCGCATCGGTGATGAAAGGGTCTGGTAGGTAAGCTTCCAAATCAATCGAGAAGAGAATTACCAAATTTTGACGGTAATTTTACGATAAAATCACGCCAAATTAACCTTTACATCGAAGTATCGATCTGAGGGATCGCTATCAAAACTTTAATAGCGTATTTATACACTACTATAACTATTAAACTATAGGGTTATTAGTGTTATAACTATTGATAAATGTAAGAAAAAAATTTCAAGTTTTCAGTAGCTTCCTGTGCCATTTGTTCCAATCGATGCAAAACATTTTTGATTTTTTCCGCCCCGGTAAAACTGTGATAAAACCACCAATGTTTTCTAATTTATTCACCCAAAAAAATAATTAGCACCAATTATTCATAATGCATGCCATATTTTTGTTCGTTCGATAATCGAGGATCAATCAACAGCTATTGAATCGATCGGGCTGGAATTTTGCACAGAGTTAGTCCTCATTAAGATCTATAATTTTACAAAATTTCAGATTTTTCGGAAATACTTTCGCCATTTAATTACTCAATTTTGCAAATGGATGGACGAATGATAATCTTTTATTGTTTGTTGATTGTGAAACACGTGAGAGCACTAAGGCCTTACATCTTTTTACGTATAAGGCAATTAATATAAGGGAAGAAATACTCGATAGGTGTTGTTATATACGAATACCCATGTAAAAAAAAAAAATCTATTGAAACTTTCATATTTTGTATATGCTACTTACTACAACTTCTGTGATGTTTATATGTAGATTTTGTATTCATCTGTCCCTCCCTTGCTATGAGGGTAGTCTCGAGAGCAATAAACTAAACTGAACTTAATTACTCAATTTTCTAAAAATTGACCACCGGAAAGGTGGCGGTGGACATGGTCACATACAGACATGGTGAACATGGCGAGCCAAACTACGCATTTTTCTAAATAAGGAAAGGCCACCTAGGCTTGGAGGCACTCGAGCCCTCACATATATATAACACAACCAAATTTTGGGCTTTTGTATGCGCATATATTAGCGCCTCAGAACGACGATTTTAACGAAAAAGAGCGCCCTCAACGTTATTTTGCGAGTCCAAAAATTCATTCGTGAATAAGATTTCTTTCCACCTGATTTTATTAAATTTTCAACATAATTGAATCTTATCATCATTATTCTTACTATCCCTTTCTTCTATACAACCGACTGTTTTTTTACAGTTCTATCTCTCCTCTCAGCCTTTCGATAAAATGTTAATAGAAAAATTGTATTTACACATACTTGAATGAATTTGAAACATCACATTTCAAGAAACCATCAGAAATCTCACTTTCAAGGAAATTCATGAAAAATTAGAAATTTTCAAAAATCATCATAAAAAACAAATCAACCAATATGACTATCATAATCATATTTTAACTTCGACTTAATGGAATTTAAAAAAAAGTTCCCTGGAATTCTGATTTTCAAAAAATACAAAATTTTTGCAAATTTTCAAATGAATCAAAATAACGATTATTGCTATCGCCTTTATCTTCGGACTCGGTCCAAAGAAGAGCCTAACAAATTTTTTAAGCCATCATTCAATCAATTCAGAACTTTTTTTTTAATTATCGTGGGACAACCGATTTCCGACATAATTTGAAAATTAAAAAAATTCATCGTTGAATTAAATTTTAATTAATGGCGGTCGATAGGGTTCAACAATAGCTGCATTTGAAAAAAAAACATTCAATTCCATTCAAACTAGGTTGATATAAAACAAAAAATCCAAAACTTAAACGTGAACGATGACAAAGCTTCCATTCGGAAAAATAGCCAAACTATTTGGATATCCTTAAATCGCTTGGAAAATTTGGAAGTAATAGAGTGCAAACCTGTACGTATCTCCTCGTCTGTCCTTGAAATAGAAATAACCAAGCTCATCCATCACCAAAATGTCCCCAGAATTAAAGAAACGATCCCCTTTTTTAAAAACATCTCTGATGATCTTTTTCTCTGATTCCTTCTCATCTGCATAGCCACGAAAATCGTGGACTGCCTTCTTCGGGTTTATTTTTCCCACAAATATCCCTGGTTCGTCTAAAACCATTCCATATTCATCAAGAAAACTTGGATTGAATAAGTAAACAAATAAATAGAACTGTTGAGGGGACTTTGAATGTACCTGGTTTACATCTAGTACATAAGCCATCAGGATCTCTCACAGGCTCTCCAGTCTCATCATCAATTCTCAAAAGAGCAACTCGGTACAGCGCATCACCGAACCTTGGGACGAAGCCAACAGCACCAGGTCTGTTGTCAATATTCACTGAAAAAAGGATTTATTAATGCAACAATAATATTTCATGGCACTTTATGAGAGTTCCAGTCAGTTCCTCAGTTGATTTACATCACGGTGAAAGTTTTCTATTTTCATGAGCAAATAAGATTGCAGTTTTTTTATTACCTTGAGATATTTCACAATTGCGAGCAGATGAAAATAATAATAACATATTCAGTCAGGGAAGAGTTAAAAACCGCGTTCTGGCGGTAACTGACACTTGAACCCACTTTATTACATATAAAAAATCCCTTACTACAGCAATACTAAGAAGAGTAATAAAAGAGGATAAAAGTCATATTAGACCATATTTAGAATCTGGTGCCTTTGCTGCTTGCTTCTTGTATTTGCACAACACTTGTCATTTTTCAAAAGTCTTAAGCTGTCTTGGTATGATATAGTATTCTGTGCTGTCCTGGTTTAAGGGAGGTTCACCCCGGGAAAAAACCTTTTTCGTTTCTCAAGAAAATTTTTTTAAAAATATTTGTATGCCACTCATGCCTGAAACCGGCTGGATTACACACTCGACGCTTCGCGTCTCGTGTCTAATTCAGCCGGTTTCAGGCTTCGTGACATAAAATTTTGTTCAGTACTTGTTGGGAAATTTCGTCCTTAACGTGTGTGGTTACATCACTCGCCTTCGGCTCATGCTGTAAACCCCACACACGTTAAAGACGATATTGCCCCACACGTGCTGAAATATACTATTTTGATCCAAATTTTTTCCGGCCACTCAAAATTGGAGAGTCAAAATTTTTTTAATTGAAAAATCAACTTAACAAAAATCCCCAATGTTCAACTTTGTTTATCAATGCTCACTCTGTTTAGTGGTCCTTATACATCTATCTAGTTTTTTGTTACTCTATAATTGAGAGGGTTTCCCTCAGTAATACAGATTTCACCAGTCCATTTCCTCCCTAAAATTCGAATAGGTATACTTTTTCTGCACAATTTCCATTAATTTTCCATTCTTCTTGTGGAAAATCACTCATTCCAATTGATACTCATGAATATTTTCGAGAATATAATCAGTCCATTGAAAATAATGACTTTTTTTGGTCGACCAATAAACTTGAAAATGTATTTACTCCCTCATTTTTCATTATCAAGGAGCAAAAATTTGTGATCATATTAAAAAAATATATTTAACAAAATACGTTGGGGATTTTTGAAGTTGATTTTCAAATTTAAAAGAATCGAATCTCTTATTTTTAGCGGCCGGAGACAAATTTGACCTATAAAATCGAATTCCTGAGGAAAAATGGCGCGGAAAAGAGTATTTCAAATGTTTTTTCTTGAAAAACTTACAAGTCTTTTTCCCGAAGTAAACCTTCCCTTAATGAATGCATGGGTATTTTCATGTTCATTTTCATCCCATTTCTTTTTTATTTCTAGGCTGTATACTTTTATCCTTGCCATAGTTTTGTTCATTAACTTGACAAACTATGCCCCTCGTATTCAATTGGATCGTTGTAACACTCATGAAGACTATGTATTTAAGAAATGAATAACTAAATAAGTAAATGAAAAAATAAGGTCTGGTTGCATCAGACCGTATTGAGTAAATAGACGCTAGGGTTTTATCTATTTTCAAGATAATTATTTCGAGGATTCATAATTTTTGAATATTTAAACCGAAGAATAATTCGTAATTTATTCTGTTGGTTAATTTGAGGTAAGACTGGCTCCAATTTCACTTTCAACGAGACGAGACAAAGGATGGTGAGTGGGAATAATTTTGGGTAATCACGTGTATCGGAATATAATAGAGAGCATTCTAAAATTGCCTGTTGTCTAATATAGTCTTAAGTATTTTTATTTTGCGAGCTCGCTTTGTGTATCATTTCAATATAACTTCTAATATATTTAGGGTGACGAACATTATTTATTCTGGCTCTGTATTAATCTCGTGCAAAACTATTGTTCGACTTGTTTAGCAGATAAGTATTTAGTTACATGTCATTTTTCTCTTTATTGAAACACATTATTTGGGACGACGATTGATTCGCAGAATAATCATATGACTCTGTATCAACTATTTGTTAATTTTGATTGGTAAAAATGTATTCGAACTATTTCAATTCAAATATTGTTAAATCATGGTGCCAGTAATTTACTTTCAACTGATTAAATTAATTTTCGAAAAATAATGCTCACGCCTCGCCATGAAAAACATACCACCCTTCCCCGCGTGCTTGCCTTCCGAGCCGAAGGCGATGTATATCTTGCACGTGGGGGAGGATGATCTGTTTTCCAAGGCTCGGGCATGAAATGTACTATTATTTCCTCTTTTAATCAATTCCAAATTAATTAAATTAATTTGTTTCCTACATATTGATCTCAATTCTAAAGAATATCGAATTTAGTTTTAATATTAACTTTAAAATATATTTATAGATGTTTCGTTCACTATTATGCACTTTATATTTATTAATATTTTGATATTTGTCGTGATTTAGGTGGCCTTATTGCTTTTAGAGAAAATTCATGATTTTGTCATGATCGATATTAATAATGGGTTGAGATTCTTTATGATAGTTTTCGCATTTTTATCATCGTTGAAGTTTATTAATATTATTCAAAGTATTTGTTCTATAATATTAATTTTCATGACTTTATCACATTCTTTCCATTTCGAATTGAATTTTTAATTTAGAAAACAAATATCATTACAAATCAATTCCCAATGATGAATATCTCATGATTTTACCTTTAAAATGATCCGACATTAAGATGAATGTGGATAAAAATATATTCACTTCTGAGTATAGTGTTGAAAATACCGTAACTGCATGGTCAATTTGATTGAGAGTTTCTGGGTAATTGAAGTCGAATATTCGTTGGAAAGGACCGATAGTGTCCGATACTGGAGCAGATGTTATCCATTAATTGAGGTTCTCATAAAATATTAAGTACCTAGGTTTGAATTCCCCTCAGTAGCTCCATAGAATTCACCAATCTGTTCAACATTAAACCGTTTCACAAAGGATTCCCATATTTGTGGTCTCAATCCATTTCCATACATTAATCGAACGTTGTGGGCAGTATCGTTCGGACTTGGCGGAAGAGAGAGCAGAAATCTGCATATTTCACCGATGTATTGAGCAACCTGCAACATAATTATCACTTAATCACTTTGAAAGAAGGGAAAATCGTATTTATGTCTGAAGAATTAGATAATTAAGTCATATACCAATTTTATCTACATGTATCTAAGATTCCGCGCAATGTTTTGACAGAATAGTCTATAAATTTTCATTTCTCTATAAAACTTAATCTCTAGAGATTTTTCTATTGAATTGTGTAGGTATAATTTTTTCAAGTTTATTCCATTATTCTCATTGGAAGATTAAATTGCAAACAAGGTGGGTAACGAGCCTATTCGACGAAAGCAATGTGACCGTTACTTTATGCGTTATTAGTCTTTTTTCTTTCTCTGTCTACCAATTCCATTCGTAATAAGCTTCCGAATGCATCTGTAGCAATGGTTCTAGGATAAATGTTCCCCTGAAAATCATTCTTGGAACACTTCCTCGGAAAAATGTTTCCCATATTTTCTTTTTCCACGCCGACTCGCGTTTTCATAATTATTTCGTCAAATATTACATAATATAAAATAGAAAAAAATAAATTTTTTTTAAATGCAAAATGAGAGGGAATGAGTCGTTTTATTTTCGAATAAAATTATTTGGTCCTCTGTGTTTACGTACGGAGGACAAAAGAAAGCGATAAGCCGGCTGAGAGTGGGGGACAACGCTCGAGTATCCGAGAAGAGTATTAGGGGAAAACGAGTAACTAACGGGCGTACAATTAGCGAGAGTTACTCAGTAGACTGTACTGTATTGGATGAATTGCTCTGTTATCCCTGGTGGATCAGTCCGAGACTAAGGACTCTCGGAATGGACACTCATTCGACTCTCGGATTTTCGGAGGTTAGGGCGCCAAACTCCAGTAAAGACTCTCGTCCGAGAGTGCATCCGAGAGTTGTTTATGCCTTCACAAATCAATTTGTTTATTAATTGAGGGTGCATTACATAAGTTGAAAATCCTTTGTGGACCCAATGTAGGTAGAAAGGGTAATTGAGGGTCCCTTAAACATTGCTGAAAGCAGTCTCGGATGGAGTCTCGGACGAGAGTAGCGATACGAGAGTGGTTTAGTAATTAACAAATGAGTTTGTTAATTATTTTT